GCTTTTAACCTCCCTGGGCAGCAGGGAGGCTGCTCCGGGGCCAGGAATGTCCACGGCTTTGGGGGAAGATCCCAGGTCCCGCACAAGCTTGAGGCTGGAGAGGGAGAGTGAATCCAACTGGAAAAGGCCCTGGGAAGCAGGGGGGCACAATGTAGAGTTTTAAAGTGAAAAACTGGGAAAAGAGAGGATTTGGGGCACGCAGGGTATACAAAACATGACAGAGAAGAGAGGAGCACAAAGGGGAGCCCAGCTGGGACGGTGCGTGGCAGCTCCTGGCCGGAGCGGCATCTCCAGCCAAGCAAAGTCTGGTCTGGGCAGAAAAGAAATGGAATCAAATTAGACTTGGAAACACTGATGGACAAGACACATAATGAGGGACATCCACAGACAAAACAGGCACAGGGAAGGCTTAAGGTGACCAGGGAGCCGCCTTGCCACCAAGGAGACCTCGTTGCCATCTGCTCTTCCACGCGTGCCACGAGCGCCGGAGCCGATGGGCAGCTCCCTTCGGAAACGGAGCGGAGAAGGCAGGGAGCACAGGGAGAGCCACCAAAACAGGACAGGAGGACGAGGAGGACACAGGACAACTGCCTAGAGAGACACACGGTGAGGGGCTCCTGTCCAAATACATCATGGAGCACAGGATGAGACGGGCTGGGAGGCAGCAGCGGCAGCGGAGACGGAGGTAACGGGATGAGGAAAGGGAACAAAACGGCCTGGGCTGATCACGAACGAAGGGATCTGCCAGGAGAGACCGTGTTGGGAGCCCGAGGCCTCTTCCAAGCCCTGATCCGAACGGCTCAGCGCGTGGGACCAAGGTAGGAAGGAGACGGGCTGGAAAGAAACAGGGAGGCAGGAGAGAGACGCTGGCTGGAGCGCACCGAGGTCTGGAGCTCGGGAACAGCCCCCTCAAAAGAAGAAAAACCAAGAGGGATTAAAGGGACGTCCCCAAGGGCAGGAGTCCGGCCACAAGCCCCCCGCGCCAGCGGGCCCCGCTCCGAGCGTTAGGCGGTTACTTGATTAATGGATTACGGCAGCTGGAATTAAACGGCTTTGGGCTCGCCACAGCTGCCAACCTCTGGCCACACTCCCCCCGTTCGCTCCTCTCGTGTAATTAGAGCCTGGGCTTCTATTTTCGAAGTAAAAGTTGGCTTTGGTTAGTGATTCGCTGTTTGAGAGGCGGTGGGTCCCCTCCTGGGCTGAAACCCCTGCTCAGGGAGCAGCTCGAGGACATAAGCATCAGTGCAAGCCAGATTCTACGACCGCCATATTAATGATGCAAATTAAAAACAAGGAAGATAAATTAGTATTCTACCCACTCGTCAAACAGACCTCACAACAGCACTGCGTAGCTGCTAAGCTTTTGCCTTGGTGTAGCACTATTAATAAGTATTTGGCTATTTAAAATTGTGAGAGCTGGAACACGTCTCTGGCGGATGCTCTGAATTCGCGGCACTTAGAGCTGCAACGTCTCACTTATCCATTTGGATGGATCAGAGCTGGAAAAATAAATCCTGTAGCTATTTATTTCTGCTGAAGAAAAGACTGTTCCCGTGTTTGCTGCTGTTGCCTCCACCTCGGCAGACGTGGGCTCGCTCCGAGGGAAAGGAAATCCCGGACACGGCCGCGCTCATCCTGGCGCACACGGAGCCGGCCCGGCTGGGACCTTCCCATGCAGCCGGCCCCGCTCCCGGCCACCCTACGGCTTTGCCAAGAAAATAAGGATAAAAGACGCCTTCCATTCTCATTTTAAACAGCTAAGGAACCTCCGTCTGCTTGGCTTCCCTTGCTGCTCCCTGGCTGCATAAGGAAGACAACCCATAGGCTGCAGCTTCTCCCTGGCAATGCAGCTAAGTGCAGCATTTTGGGCAGAAAAGCGTGGTTATTGAGGAAAAGTTCACCAGGTCCTTGATTATCAGCAGTCCCCAGTTTGTGGCTCGGTTTTGCACAGCTCTCTGGGGGGCTCTTGCCCAGCTGAACACACCACAGCTCCCTGGGCTGTGTTGGGCAAGCAAAGGGCAGCTGGTGTGCGGATCCCTGAGCAGGAACCTATGGGACTGCGGACAAGATTGGATCATCCTAACAGGGAGCCTGACCCTTCACGTCACTCTTCCCCATACAAACACATCCCGCGGGAGACCGAGGCACCCTGGGACGCTCCGGAGCGAGTCCCTGGCGAGTCCGGAGTGCTGCAGACTCACAAACGGAGTTGCAGCCGGGTTTCGCTTGCAATGCAACCGCGTTCGCTCCCGGCCGGAGGAGCAGCACGCTCTGCTCAAGGACACGGTTTGCACGAGCGGGGACATCGCCTCCTGGCCACCCTCTGTGTCCAGCCCCTGTCATGCCCACGGCAGCTCTCCGTGCTCATGGTCCCCTTGCAAAGTGTCCGTCCAAACGTTTGCAGACTCGGCCCGTCTCCCAGCACCACGGCGTCCCGGAGCCTCCTCCCGCTGTGGATCCTTCCCTGAGCTCGAGCTCACGGGTTCCAAGCAGGGTGGCAGCTTCTCCTCGCGGGCTCTTCCCTTGGTGCCCGGGGAGGTGCCGTTCCCGACCGCCCTCCCTGCGGGAGATGCAAATGCAGCGGGTGCTGCTCCTCCGCCTGCGTCACCGGGACGGCCAGCGCTCCTTGCTGAACAAAGCAGGGCCTCTGTCACCCCCCGGCACCGGCTCCACGTGACACCGGTCCCTGCAGGCTCCAGCTGCCTCCTGGCCACTGGGGAGGTGCCAGTGACCCTATTTCCCGAGCAAGGAACAGGGACACGGGCTGCCGGCCACAGAGCAGGGCTGCAGGCTGAATCCTAATGCCCTCACCTGTCCTCGCCTCCGTTTCTAGCGCTCCAGACTCTTTTCTTAGCTGACAAAAGCGTCCCCAAAAGTCTCTGCGGAAGAGGAAAATGTGCCTGGTGTTGTGCGGGGACACAAACGAACCTCCTGCTCCGGGCAGGAAACCGGAGGGGACACGACACAGCGCTCGGAGCGGGATCCCACTGCGTGGCCAGATTGCTCCAGGTCACCCTGTGCCACCAACCCTCGGCGAGGAAAAGAGGGAGCGAATCCGAATCCTCCCTCTTGTCACCCTCGGGAGAAGGGACTTGGTGTCGCTGCTGACTCTCTCCTCCCTTGTCCCGGCCGGAACGGGGCGATGCTGCGGGAGGCTGGAACCTGCCCACGCTCACCCCATGCACAAACCAGGCACCGAGCTCCCGAGAAAACCAAACACTCCCTTTTCCTCCTATTCAATGCCTAGGTTTAGCTGAAAGTACAAAAAATGCCTTTTCCGAATACAACGAAAATTTGAGCATTATCTTTAAATCTCGATTCTTTCTGAAGGTGACCCAGGCCTTCTGTGGGCTCCCTCCAACCCTATGGACCTCTTCACTTGATTCACACCCTGATAATCCGAATCCCCCTGGAGCTGAGCTCTGCGTCTCCAGTTCCTTGGCTTAAATCTCAATCATTTTAACATGTCCAAACTTTTAGGGCCTTTTATTCCTGTTTTTAGGGGCTTTTGTTCCTGTTGGGTTGAGTTCCCCACGCAGCTTTTGTGAAGCTCAAACCATAAATGACAAATCAGAACAAAAAGAGCAGACACATGCAACAGAGAGAGGAGATGCTGCCGACGTGTCCACCCCGGCGAGCGGCTGGGGTTAGCGCGGGGTGAGTCGGGTTAGGTAAAACGGGGTTAGGACGTGAAGTTCTCCAGAAGTCAGTGTTGACTCACCACTGTACATGTCAGTGTGATTTCGAAAAGACGTTTCATTATGGGGTTTCTCTGCAATAAACAAAAGACCATGAGCATCCCGAATGCGCCAAAGCGGGGATGGAGCACGGGGGGGACGAGGAGGAAAACAAAACGGAACCAAAACGAAAGCAACGCAACCAAAACCAAAGTAAATTCCCAAAAGGTGAGAGCAGCACGGACAGGCAACATGAGCGATACAGAAGCACTCGCAACACAACTGCCCAAAAAGACACACAGCAACAGAAGTCAGCAACAAAGGAGGAAAAAGAAGACTGCTTTCCAGCTATAAGATGGATAAACAAATAAATACATGAAAAATATCAGTATTGTATTTGTATCATAGACATTTCCTTGAATTGAAGGGTTTTTCTTCTGGCATCTGTATCTTTAGATCAATTCACTTTTGAGATGAAAATGTTTTTTCTCTCAGTTTCTTAATTATGAGGCAAACATATTTCTGCTACTTTTTGCCAGCATAAAACACACATTGGACACAGCCAAGCAACAACATGCAGAAAGGCAGGGCAGAAAGGCATGGTGAAGGCGAACAAATAAAAATAATAACAGTAATAATTAGGCTTTAAAAGCATAATCAACTGTAAAATCCTTTTTAACCACAAGGTAATTAAGTAGATTATGTTGCATGCAAAATACCAGCTCTTCGATAATGTATTGCTCTCATTTATCCACAGCCACTGCAGCCAACACCTCTACTTGTCAGAGCAGCATCGACCAAGGCAGAGGTTTTAGAGCACAGAGGAGCAGGTTGTGTTGGTTACAACACGGGTGTTGATCTGAACCTTCAGTCATCAGTTCACACAGGGTCTTTATACAGAAGGGGTAAGAGAGCCCAGGCGAAGCCCAAGAGCTGCATGAACTAGGGTAAGCTAGAGAAACTCCCCACAAATAAAGGCACAGGTCTTATCTGGGTAAAAAGACCCAATTTTTCCCTTTTCTGTTCTTGCACACAAGGTCACTACAGTCAAATGCAATGATTTTTCAGAAACCTGTTTTTTTTAAATGCCCATTTGCTAAAGGCAGAGAACAGCTGGAGACAAATACAAACGCTTCCCCTTTGAACGCTGCGCAGATAAAGAGCATTTTATCATAACAGACAAGAAATTAGAGCCTCAGAGCCTCAGCTTGTAAAGGCCTCTGGGGAGCGCATGGGAGGGCATTTGCATCTTACAACACATCAGCCATTTCCAAAGGAAAACTTAAGAGAGGGCCCAGGATAATTGGAAGCCAAAGGATAGTAGCCGTAATGAGACTTGCAAAGAGCCGGGAGCCCAGACGCAGGGAGCCCTCTGAGTTCCAGGGTTTCTTCCACCTATTTTTTTTTTCCAGGAGCTTGATCAATATGTCAGGCACTAGAACCCAGGTCTTTGTTTGCCAGAGTTTCTCCAGCTCACACTAATTTAGGACTCAGCCCTTCAGGTACAGATAAAAGTTGCCATTATTCGGCCAGCTCTGTAAACGGGCAAATAAAATTTAGACTGAATTGCTACAGATATTCCTCTCCATTAGCAAAGGGTCTATTTATAGTATTTGAACTGCTGACTCTCCACTCATGCATTGTATAGAGGGGAAGGTGCTACAATAAAAGTGCAAAATATGAGAGTCACCTCTCATGCCAGCTTTAGGTCACTGCTATCAGGATGCTTTAATAGAGTTGATTCTATTTTAAGCTGCTGCAAGAGCAGGTTAAGCCTCTAACCCTGGGATTCAGGAGCGCTTCACACCTACTGTGCACAACAACCTGCTCCCCAAAACACATCCCTGCACAAGACCCTTCCTCTCTCAACTCCAAGGGCCTTAGCGGGGTCTGCAGATCTTCTTCATCTGCTCCTACGTGATGACATGGCCCCTACGTGATGACATGGCTCCTACGTGATGACGTGGCCCTGTTCGGTGTCAGCCCCAGGTGACACCGTTCCGGGTGCTGGACACACACATAACAAGGGAGCCTGTTCTGGAGGACCCGCGGTGCCTCCCGTAGCGCTCGGCTCGTGTCCCTCTGCCAACGTTGCCACCAAGCAACTGGCACAACACTCGGTAGCATCAGAAAGTCGCCTTCTTTAAAGGAGCCTCTTTTCTGGCAGAGAGACTTGGGACATGCTCATAGGGCACCCCTTCATGTAGCTAAATACATGTGCCCTCCTTCTGCCCCAGAGGATGATCTTCGCCAGGCTCAGACTAACATCACCGGCCATCCTGGACGTGTTCCCTGTGTTCAGGCTCCGAACAGCCAAGTTCCTGTGTCACCACGTCCCGGAGCTGCCCCCGGGCAACTGTGCCAGGCGGCTCATGAGCCGCCAAGGTGGCCCCTGCTCGGGCCCGTTCCTGCGCCCTGGCAGCGGTGCCAGGCCGAGCCACCCCCGTGCCACCCCAGCACAGGCAAACCGAGCGCTGCTGCGGGGACAGGAGCTGCGTTGGAGCAGGGCAGAGCTGTGCCCGGGGCTGCCGCGATGCTCATGCCAACCGCGGTGGCATCCAAGAGGAGGGAGCCCGTGTGTTTGGATGCCCCGCGCTGATCAAAACATCCACCTACGCACCCAGTAAGGCGTAACTCCAAATCCGGGTTTCCCACGGGCAAAGCATGGCTATTTCCCATGTTTACAGCTAGGAACAGATCACCAGATACTACACATTTCCCTAAAGATGGGGAGGAACTGCCCCACATGCAGACTCGGCGATCGATACGTGCATAGAGCTGCCTTTGCAGCCCTGCCACCAATAAAGCTGCAGAGCTGGCAAAGCTCAGAGACACTGGAAGGAAATCAGCTACCTCTCCCTCCCACGTTAACAGCCCAAGGACTACCCTTCCTTGTGCAAACAAGTTCTTATAGTAACCTAAACAAAACAGAAGAAGCCTCTCTTCTCCCTGGTAACTCTCAGGGCTGTCAGGGACCGGCACAGGGTGGCCTGAAAAAAGAGCCATGTGGAGAGCAGTCAAAAGACCCATTTTGGGTGATCACTGTGACACTTACTGGTTTTCACCTTGAGGGTGTACGGGTTTTTCTGCTGGATGGTGTGGGTGAAGTGGAAGCGTGCGTTGCAGCTGTAGTCTGTCTGGGCATCTTGCAGCAAGACATTGGAGAAGTACAAGTCGCCGTTCTGGCCTTGGGAGACGCGCTTGTCTTGGTGGATGGGCTCCATGGCTGCATGGGAGAGCAGGAGCCCAAAGTCAGAGGGGCCAGAAGAAACCCTAATGCTCCCGGGTGCCCCTGTGGGTGACTAACACCTCTAAGGATATAATTATTTTAAATAAGGAGTGCAATCAACAGAGGAGCTCCCCAAGGAGGGTTCCAGCTGGGAAGGGGCACCTGCCCAACTTACAGCTGCTCATCCAGAAGATGACCGGGGAAGGCAGGCCAGGCGGAGGGTTGCACTGCAGGCTAAGCGGAGCACCTTCATCCACCTCTATCACATCCACCTTCTCCTTGGGCCACAAGGGAGACTCTGAGAAGAAGAGCAATGACACAGCAAGATGAAGGGCTGGTTTAAGGAGGGATTCACTCGCCAAATCTCTTCCCTCCCTTCTTCCCGCTGGACCTGGCCTGGTTTCAACGGGGCCTTGATGTAAACTTTATTTCTCTCTGAGCAAGATTCCCTGACACGGGTAACACATGAAGCAGGCTGAGATGTTTGAGTGCTGCATAGCCCCACACCTCTTCTACAGAACCTTGCATGATACAAACATGGATGCAACCCGTAGGGCAGCAGTTTACCGCGCTTGCTCCTCTCAGTACTCACTAGAAACCTGGAGGTGGATTTTGCTGGAGAGCGCCGTGCCGAAATCATTCCGTGCAAAGCACTGGTACTCGCCCTCGTAGTCCTCCGGCCGGCCGCCGCTGTGGAAGTCGATGACCAGGGTCCCCGAGCGCCGCCGCATCGAGACTTTGGGGTCTTTTGCCACATTGAAGAACTTCCCGTTCCGTGTCCATGAAAACCTGGAGCATCGGGACACGCTTGGTGTGAAACGGTATAAAACAGTGTAAACGCTTCCATTGACTCCAGTGGAAGCAGGGCCAGCTTAGACCCACAACAGGCTGGGCCCAAGGGGAAGGCAGAGCTCCCCTCGAGCAAGCCCTTCTCTTTCACAGCACCATTTCAGTACAACAAGAGCTTTGGAGGCACCTACGTGGGAACGGGGTTGCCTTTAGCTTCGCACTCGATGAAGATGTTATCCCGGGGGTCCACGATATAGTCCTTCACCGACTGCTTGGTGATCGTGGGCGGCTGCGGCACTGCAAGGCAAGCGGGAAGAGGTGACGGAGCGGCGCGGGGAGGCAGGAATCTCTCTCCTGTCCTACAGCAAGTCCTGCCAGGCTCTCAATCTGCTCCCCGGGCTGGACAGGCAATTCATAGAGCAAAACTCTTTCAGATCTGAGGAAACAACCACGAGCGCTGGCGGGCTGGGGACTGTCACCTTCAAACCGTGGCATTGCTCAGCCTCCCTTCAAGGGCTTTCCTGCCTGATATCTTGGTGCCATTAAGAAAGCTCTTGGTTACTTCTTCCCGCTACCAATGCATCATTTAACTCCAAGCTCCACGTGCCATATCCGTGTCCCTCCAGGGAAGGGCCACGACACCGAGATGGAGCTGCTGCAAGTGCAGATGTTCCCCGAGCAAGAAAGAGGCCCCAGGGCTCCCAGGACCACACGGAACAGGCACAGCAGCGGCGTTTAGCCACCAGCCCAGCCTTGGCACACGGGTTTCTGCCACGCAGAGGAGTCTGTTCTCCTCCGAGGTGCAGCCCAAGCCTGCGGAGCCGATGCTGGCACTGCCAACACCGCTTTGTGGCTACCAGAGCTTGTTGTAGCAGCCCTGCAAACCCTGCAGGGCTGAGGAGGGCAGGAACTCGTCCGTCCTGCCCCGAGCCGTGTCACAGGGCACAAAACACAGCCCCGGACACCCGGGGCCAAGCAAGAGCCCCGACCGGCCCCGCTCCTTCCGAGGTGCGGAGGGACCGTCACGTGCATGCAGAAGATAAGGGTGGGACTTACATTCGCTCTGAATATTTGCTGTTATTTCCAAAGCGCAAGCGTAACAAAAAAGAAGAAAAAAAGGTTAATCGAGAAGCAAACCCATATAGATAACGCTCGGCACACGAGTAGAAGCATTACGCAGTTATTGTAGGGTCTGCAAACAGCAGCACATCAACACACAATCATTTGATCCAGGGCTGACCCAGAGCTTCCACCAAAGGAGCCTCCACTTTACCTCCTCCAGGCTAACATGGCCCAGGTTTCAAGCCCTTGCTAAGGTTTTGAGGCTGTTTGATTAAACCACAGGGGGATTTAAGTGATTTTCCGGACAACAACAGAGCAGGAGGGCCCCGAAAGCCGCCTGGGCTCGGCTCTCCGGACTCTCCCTCCTCCACCGTTTGCACGGGAGTTTTTTGGGGAAAAAAGTGGCACTTACAGTCGAGGGGCACTTCGATGGCGCTGGCGAGGTGGCACAGGGCGAGCGCGATGGCCGCGCGGGCGAGCCGGGCGCTCGGCGGGACCATGGTGGAGGCCGGCAGCGCCGCTGGGCCCCGGCCCTTCGCGCGGGGCAAACCCGCTTCTTGGATCCTCACCTGCAAGGCAAGCACAAAAACAAGGGTCAGCGGCGGCGGCTCTGCTTCCCCTTTTCTTTGCTTTGGTGGATTCCGGCTTCCCGGGGTGTTTTTGGATGGAGGAAGGGGGCCACTTCTTCCTTGCACAAGCCAGGCTCCTTGTTGCACTCATCCAAACCATCTGGGAATGGGGAGGACCTGCCTTTGCATAAACAGGCTTTTTTTTTGGCTTTTCATAAAGCCATCGACTAGATGGAGATTAAAAGACAATGGAAAAGGAAGATGAATTATCCAACTCGTGCAACCAAGACCTACTTCATGAGGCTACGGAGGTGCCAGGATTGCATCATAGCCAGGTTACAACCGTCTGCAAGGGAGTTATAAATCCCGGGCATCAGACACGCAGACAGCTCTCCCGCCCAGGAACAAAAATAACGCCAGGACAAAAAGAGTGGAAAATCCCCAGGCTGGTTCCTCGCTGCTGCTCCGGCTTTAGCTCAAGCAGGATGAGCAGACAGGACCGCGGTGCAGAGCCCGTCCCCTTGAAACACAAATCAGCCACCGCATCCCAAGCTCTGGACACACTTCCCTGCCCTTTGGCATCCCAGTTACACCAGGTTCCTTGCGGTTTGGGGGCGCTCTGCTGTTTTTTGCTCATTCTAAAGATTTTCCGATCGAGCTGTTGCAATAAAAGCAGCTGAAGCACGGAATGATTATGGGAGCGGGCCGGTAATTGAAGTCATATCCAGGACTTGCACCGTCCTCGGTGACCTGGTCACACCGGACAAAGCTTTTCCAATTGCTTCCCCAGCTTTCTGTCTGGGGGAAGATATCACTGTGATCTGTAGCCTTCATTACTTAGAGCTCTTCATTCTTCCAGTCGCAGCTGAAAATGAGGAATGGCTCAGCCGGTTTTGTACCTTTCCTTTAGCAAGAAAAACTTGGATACATGAACTGGATCGATCGATATTGCAGCCGGATCCTTAGCGAGGCTACATTTCTTGTGCTCTTACTACTCTTGCATATTGATGCTGTACCTTGCTGCCACAAAAACCCTCCTTCTCCACGTAATACGAGGTGGAAGGTGTAAAAGAGCAGCTATTGAAATAATGCCTCACTCCAAATGCCACTTTGTGGTTGAAAATTGAAGAATCCGCTGTTTAATTTGTGCTTAGAGGGAGGGAAATGCTAAGGAGTGGGCTCCTGGCACAGATGCTGGGGACGCGTTTGGTCATACATGATGTGTGGGTGGCTTTGCATTAAATGTTAACGCAGAAAGAGCTGAGCCTGAACACTTATATACAGCACACAAAATGCTAGGCAGCTGTGCAGGAAAATAAGGGGAAAAAACACACAGCAGCAAGGCCGGGGGCTGCTCTGCACGAGACATGTGGGAATTACCGCGGTGTTTCCCGTGCCGGCTGTGCGATACAGCCGGAATTACGGTGTGTCTAGATGGAGAGGTGTGGGAAGAGCTGCACGGGGTAGCACCGGGGTGAATTTGCTGAAGGCCGAGCAGCTCACCCGGAGGAGCACGAACAACTGAGAATTAGTGATAATAATGCAAAGAAGAAACCCAAGGGTGTGTTTGCACCGGGAAAAGTGCAGCGGGGCCGGCGTGGGCGGCCTGTGCTGCGCCGGGCCGGCCCCGCGTGGGTGACGCTGGGGACACGCTGTGCTGGGGACACGTCGTGCTGGGGACACGGCCGGGCCACCAAGCTGAACGCGGCCCATGGAGAGCACGGGGAAAACGCCGGCAGCGCCAAGGGCCGGGGCTGCCTCTCTCTGGGTTTTCCTTATGGAAAGAGTCTCGTGGACACTCAGCAGAAAAGAGAGCGCCTATTGCAAGCGCTTTGTCTGGAGGCTGCTCGAAATCTGCAGCGCAGGGGGAAAAATGCAACTTTTAACATTGTCAGGTCCTTCCCCGGATCTGCCACACGGCAGATCCAGGGATTTTATTGGAAAAAAGCTCCAGTCACCTGCATTGCCGCTTGGCTCCGGGCTGCTCAAGGACACGAGGCCGCGCGGAGCCGCCAAGGTTGATAAACAGGGAGGAAACACGGGTTGCTCCTTGTCCCGGGAATGCAACGAGCTAAGGTGACATCCTCACCCCGTCCGAATGTCCCAGTCCCATTCCCTGCTCGGCACTGCCACCTTTCCCCAGGGTTTGGAAAAGGGGGACCGCGGGTGCCATGCAGAGCTCGGGATCACCCTGGCTGTACCAGCAGCGCTGAGAAGGGCTGAAACTCATTTCATTAATGAAAACGAACCTTCCTGAACGACAACCAGGACAAACGCTTCCCTATAGCCCAAATCCCACAAAAGGGCCATGAGCCCCAGCTCTCCCAGGCAGGCCGGGCATGGAGGCGATAGAGCAGGAGCAGGAGGAATTCCCGCTTGGAGACAAACAAAACTAAACAATCCCACAATGAAGAATTATTTTTAATCAGCTCATTAGATGCAGCAGGCCACTTTCACTAGCAATTAGGCATTTATCCTTATTTATGGTTGCAGGAGGAACTCTAGCTGCTCGGCTTCCCAAGAAGGCTCCGGCAGCAGCGTTTTATGGGTTTCACTCAATTAAAAGTGATTGAAGAGCACAGAGCAGCGTTTCCACGACGAGAAACCCCTTTGGGTTGCACATAATGAAAAACATTGATCTAGGAGGACCGCATCTTTGCAATTCCATGACAGAGATAAAAGACCCATTTTGGGGGTCGAGCCCTGCTTTGCTCCACTCTCCGTAGCCTTTCCCCCCATAGCAAACGCACGGTCAATCCATGGGCATTTCCAGATCCCTTTAACCCAAACGCTGCATCCTGCCAACGCGGAGCAAGGGGCCGGGAGCGTTTTCCCAGTGGGATTTACGCCCCGCGGGAGCGCTGGGATGAAGGGCAGCAGCTCCCGCTCGCCCGGCGCGGGCTGAGACGCCCTTTGTCCCCCGGTGCTGGGGACAGTCCGTGCGATTGTCCTCGGCGCGCGCGGCTGTCGGCGGCAGACACCGGCACGGGCGCCGCGGCCCCCTCGCGCCCTCCCAACAAGCGGCGCTTTCAGGGAGAGGGACCCGGAGCCGAACGCGACGCGAGCGAAACGATGGATAGAAAAGGGCTACGGGCACCCGAAGAGCGGCCGCGCTGCGGGCGAGCGGCTCCCGGCGCTCCCGGGATCCCGCACGGAGCTCACCTAAGTCGCTGTGCGGCTTTGGACCGAATCCCGCGCATCCCGGGAATGCGGTTCCCAGTTACCCGCTGGCCTGAAAGTCGCCTCCATCCCGCTCTCCGCAAGCGGTTCCAGCACCCGCTCTGCGGGTCACAGAGAAGCTCCCGAAATTCCGCTTCCTTCCCGGCTCCCCTCGGACCGAGGGGGGCATGAGCAGAGCCTTGGGGGCACCTCTGATATCGGGAGCCCTCCGGAAAACCCCAGGCTGGTGGATGCACGGGGATAACAGCCAACACATGTCCCTCTGGGAGGATCCAGCACATCCGGGCGCTTCCCGGAGCCGGGGTTCTCATCCCGCTCCTCCATGGAATCCGCTCCATCTGCTGCCTTTTCCCACCACACGCGTGGGCGATTCTCCACAAGGCCCCACGGGATGGGGGAGTTTTCAAAGCCCGACCAAACGGATGCGTTTCAAAAAGCCGGAGGAAGGGGAAGCTGCTCCGACGGCTCCGGGGGCCCCGTGACGTGACGGGGTTTGTCACAGCCACCCGCGACACCCCAAGAAGGGTTTTCCTAGAGGAAAAGGCTAAGGAGGCAAAAACTGCTCAATCCGCAGGGGGGGACACCTGGGGCTAACGAGGTCCCCGGCTACCAGCCCAGACCCACGAGCCATGTTCGTGGCCGGGCAGCCCTCTGGGATGGGGAAGGACTCGAGCACAGGGCTTCGGTCCATTCAATTCTTGAGTAAATATTTTATTTATGCTTTTGCTTTAAAAATAAAGTTTACTACTGCCTAAATTGCCCATTTTGCACACACAGCAAGGCCTGGGGACTCGATGTCCCCCCGCAGCCCCTGCACACGCAGCCTCTATCCCCTCTCCGGGATCTGTCACCGGATCCATCAAACAGGTGACATCCCGACGACCACCAGCGAGTGAGCGGTACTTACAGTCCCCCGGCCCGCCAGCTGTCACCGCTATCCCCTTACAGCTCCTGGGTGGCACCAGGGTGGTCACCGGACACCGCGGTCCCCTCCCCTCCGCTCCCGGCTCCGTATCCCATTGAGCATCCCGCATCCCCGGCCGGGCCAGCGCACGTCCTTCAAGGGGATGCCGTGAAATCCCGCATGATTTTTTACTACCCTTAAAAGCAGCCGTTGCTCTGCACTGCCCGGAAACTCCTGGTATTTGTCAGCAATGTCACAGCAGAACTTGCTTTGACAAATTTCTTGGCATGTTGTGTTAAAACGCTCATTATAAAATTCGCACCCTTTGCGATGCGGTCATTAATGCTGCCAGCCCGCCGGCTCCATCTGCCTTTTGAGCCCCCTCCAAAACAGTAATAACTTAATTGGTAGAAGCCTTTGGCTTTAGCACAATAAAACCGGCACAAAAGCGGCTTTTAACCTTCAGGACTGAGCGTGGGATGCACGATACTCGCTCAGGCTGTTAAAGAAAAAAATAACTATAAGGGAAATACATTGAAAGACGAGGCTGATGCTTAATATTGGTGTTAAAATAGCCAGAAATGAGGCCGAGCTCCTCCCGCAACCTTTGTTCCGGGGCTGCTTCCAAGCTGCTCCGCAAATCTGCTGTCATTAGTGTCAGCGGTGACGCCGCGCGCAGACGGGTCGGCCTCCGCCTGCCAAAGCGGGGAGCAAAAACCCTGGGTTTGCACAGGGAGAAGGTGGAGGACGGCCCCGAGCCAGCTATAAATGATAGATCAGTAACAGAGGGGGAAAATAAACCCGCAAAACAGCTGCAGGACTGAGCGGGTTGGTGAGGACCATCTGTGCAAGGGCAGCGCTGGGGCCCCAAATGTGTCCAAGCTCCCACGGGCCAAACCGAGCAGGAAAAGAAAGCGAAATTCCCAAATCCAGCGATTTCTCCACTCCTACCTCATCTCAGTTTCATCCAGCCGATCCGCTGCTGTAGTGGTTTAAATGGGAAGTATCGTAGGAAAGGCTATTAAAGCAAAGGAAGAGTGTAGGTGAGAAGAAACAAGGGGCAAGGAGAAGGGATTGGGAGCTGAGGGATGGATCGGCAACGTCCTTGAGGTCCTCCGGTCAAATTTGGACTGAAACCTGGGGTTTTCCAGTAAAACTCTGTTTCTGGCTTCCCCTGGCAGTGCTCGAGGAGCAGAGAAACAACCACATTTGGTGGCACCTGGGACCTCTCTGTCAGGAATTGCAGGGCATGCGCCCAGCTGGGCACCATCCGAGTGCTCCAATAGGGATTTCTTCCCGCAAAAAACATTTGGGAAGGACCAAACAAGAGCCAGGCTCAGGGCACAGCCATTCCGAGTCTTCCCAAACACCGTTCCCAAGCTCCTTCCTTGACTTCCCCCAGGACAGAAGACCATCTACAAATGCAGAGCATGCTCCATGCTGGCTTCCAGCTACTGCAAGATGGAAAACAGCAAATGCTTTTTGTCCCCACAAGGGGACAGAAGTTTCTTTGCCTTTTTTTCTAATGCAAATTCTGCAGAAGTTTTTCCAAGCAAGATAATTCCTGTGTTGAAGGAACTAGACAGACTTGTGTTTTGCAGGGGCTTTTGGGAGCAGAACCAGATCCAGAGGAAAACCGCATGCTAGTTCGATTTTAAAATTGGATCTGCTTAAGAGAATTTCCTGGCCAAAATTCATGCAGAGAAACATGTCAAGTTGGATCACCCTAAAAGAAAAAAGTGCAACATGCTGACTGCAAGTTTTCCAATATTTCTTGTACTACTAACAGCAATTTTCCACTAGTCTGCAGATCCTATTTGCCTTCAAAAATTAGTATTATAACAGAGGTGCCAGCACTGCTGCTGCTGGGCTTGGAGGGGAGGAATCTGTTCTTCCACGCAAACCTAGAGCATCCAAATCCCATGGAAAGTTAATGGGATTGAAGGGCCTAAACCCAATTAGACATTTCCCTGCTTTAAAACTTCATTAGAAATTTGGATATGGCAAAACACACGCTTAAAACAGAACCCCATTCAAATGTCATCTCTCCCCAGGGATATTTTCACAGCTCATTTATTAAACACCGACACGGAGAAAAGCCACAGCCTCTCACTTGCCCCACGGTCCCCGTGCACAAGCTCCCGCTTCCGAGCCCATATTCCTTGCAAACACTTTCCAAAGCGGAGCCGTAAATCACGGCGCGTGCGGAGCCCATGGAAGCGCTCAATGTAGCCAGGGATTCTTTTCGCTGCTCATAAAACGCTCCTTTTTATGAGCCTGCAATTACAAACAGCTGTTTATTTTGCGAGCCGGCATTTTTTAAAGCCTTCTTTCCAACGCGTAACGAGAAGCGACAGGCATTTTCCAGGAATTTTCCCAGCAGAGGAAGCCTGGCACGCTGTCACTCGCGGATCGCTCAAAGGGGGCAATTAGCTTCAGAACAAGCCTCTATTCTGGGTGGCAACCCCAGGATCCTTCTCCTGGCACCCGGACGCCCATCACGTGCGGAGCGGATGCCGCGAGCTCCCTCCCGCACAGCCAGGCACGCGATTCCCACAGGATCAGCCTCCCGGCTCGGAGAGCCGCTCGGAACCCGTGGGCATCTGTAACCCTTGATGCTCTTCGCCTTGTGCATGTGAAAACGCCAGAGTTTCCGCAAACCCCCGCGTGTCCCGGCCTCTCGGTGGCTCCCGCCGGACCCTCCGGAGCAGCTCGCGGGCCGTGGATACACGTGGATCCGCCGGCACATTCCGGAGCGGCCACACGCTGCATCTTTGGGACAGCCCGTAACAAACCCGACACAATCACCCGCCTGGGAGCAACGAGGGGCCAAAGCAACGGGAGAAGGAATAAAAAAAGCCAAACAGCAGCAAAACGGAGCTTCAGCAGAGACTTTGCTCTCTGCATCCCCAGCTCCAGGTGCCTCGTGGGCGGGAGAGACCCGAACCACGTGCGGGAGGCTCCGGATTTTGGAAACGCGTGTCCAGGTTCTGTGGAGCGGCTGGCGCTGTTTGGAGATGGTTGTTGCTGTATCCGGTGGCACAGGCAGCCCCGGGGGAGGTTTGCGATTCAATCAGGGCAAACCGGAGCGGCCAGCGCGACGGGGACGACCAGGGGCAGCAGCAACGCGGCCCCAGCGGCACCAGTGACGAGAAGGCACCAATTTGGGGGACTAACATTGAAGTCCCCAACGTTGGCTGGCAAGGACAGGGCCACCGAGGTGCCCGAGGTGCCGCAGCACGAGGTGAGGAAGATGAGGCCATCCTGGCTCCGGACTCTGGCCATGGGGCAGCTCCATTGCAGGCAGGAGCAACTTGGCACTTCCCCATCCATCCATTTTTCCCCTCCATCCGATTTCTCCATCCATCCATTCACCAGCCCACCCGGGAGGAGCAGGGGGAAGATTCCCAGCTTGGCCCTGGATTTCACATCCCTTCGAGCGGCAGGAGGCTGCAGCTGGGCAGAGACACCATTAAAGAGCAATGAAAATCCCCAAATGTGGATTTTGGACCCCTCCTGCTCCATGGTGTTTTGCTCGCCCGGTGGCAACTCACAGCTTTGAAAGAACTAACCACAAAATGAGCTGATTCCATAAAAATCAGCGTAATGGGCACAGCCCGCGCATCCCAGCTCCACCGATAATTAGGAAGCAGATGGGGGAGGAGGGCAGGGAGAGGCATCGCTGTCAGGTTAATTGTTTGAAGTCCCTAAATGAAATATGGGCAGCCTGATTTCCCTGGAGGATCATACGCAAACCGAACTATGGACTTGTACGGAGAAGAAAAATAAATAAATAACAGTAAAAGGGAAGGATGGTAGATTACAACTAATCAGGAAGGAGCAGACGCTCTAAACCCTGGAAAAAAACAAAGCTCCCCTTTGTGGTTTCAAATGAGGATTGGGCCGATCCCATCCACGGCTTCGCGGCCACCTTATCAGACGCTAGTTCCATTTCCCTGATTAAATGGGCACAGGAAGGAAAGCTGCTCCAGGGAAGGAGGCTCTATTGGTGCACAGAGGCCCAAGGCCCCTGGAAGAGCAGGCGAAACCTTTTGAAGAACCTTTTGATGTTCTGATCCCAAGGAACAGAGCGCACGACGCTGCAAAACTCACCCTGAACCAACGTGGAGCCCTAAACAGCTGGTTACAACGTTATTTGTGACGGCTGATGCAACCCCCAGCAATGCAATGAAATTTAAATTAAAAAAAAAGGAAAAAAAAAATCCCTTCTCCCCCCACGAAAGGGCAGGGTGAGCACCGCAAACCAATTTCATTTCAGCTCTGCTCTCTGGATTTCTCATTAGCACAGAGTAGCTGCAGAGACAATTACACGGGCAGCTTTGCTGAGCTGGATTATTTAGATCGGGCATTGCCAATGGACAAGCCAATTCCAAACGGATTTTCAAATCACTAGAAAATTGGAATTGAACTAAAATTGCAGAGGATATCGGGCTCCAGTGCAGTGGGACCTTAAGAGCAAGACTGGGCTTTGGGGGTGGAAATCATTAGCCACATTCCTATTACTCAATCAGTTATTTCTGTTTCTATTTTTCCTCATATCCAGGCAACACTTTGCTGCTATTTGGTGAAATTAAAACATGATGCAGCTTTTTGGAGGATAAACATTAGAGAGACATAAGTAAGACCTGAGTTTAGAGACTGAACTGCTGCTGATCTGTAAAGACAACCCGTGCAGCAGGTCCTTGGCCAAACCACCACAGCACCAAGGAAATGCAACACAACGGGGTTTTTCTTTGCAAAGTTTCCCACCGGAATAAACTAACCAAAGTTCCCTTCTGCCTTCGTTCCGCAGGGAAGCGCGGAGGGATTTGGGAAGTGTGGGCTGGAGAGGGCACTAAGGGCAGCAGGAGACATCTGCTCTCTGGAGAGGAAGTCACAGGGCACAGAGTCACCCGGGTCAGGTCACACGAGGGGGACCTGTCACTTCACATCTGCGTCCACAGACACTCGCAATAGGCCCAGGCCAGAATGGACCAAATTATCGATTATGGGTAAGGAGACACTCAGAGATTTACCAAAACGCAGAGGTCAGAGGCGCTGATAGAAAGTTAAGTGGCTGCACATTAAAGCTGATCAGCTGTGAAGGTTTCCTGTAGGACCTCAGTGAGGGATTAGGGCAGCTAAAACGCCACACTTTGTTCGGAGCACGGTGACAAGGACAGGCCACGGGGGAAAGCAGATGGCTCCGTTCGGTGCTTGGAGCAGCTCCTCGAGTTTTCCTGCATGGGAGGAGAGCAGATGGAGCTGAGACCGTGCACAGAGGGGACCTCTTGCTGCCCTCGAGCCGGGTCTCATCCCGGCCATCGCAAGCGCGGGGACCGCCGGGAGCGGGAGCAGGGAAGGGGTATGGACACAGCACCAACACCAGGGATTCCCCTCCTCCCCGGACACCCTCCCAGCCCCTTCCTATCCAGCAGTGATTGGTTCTTCGTCTGCCTGATCAGCGCTTCGAGCTGCATTCTGAAAACCCCTCAGAAAAACCCAACTAGGCTTTGGGGCCTCTCTAGCTTTCTCCTGGGTCATTGCTACGAGGCTGTAGCAACGTTCTCATCTCGGGGCCCTTTTTTTGCCACCAAACCTGCGACCGCATCCCCCGAGGGACCCAGCAACGCTCCGGGTATAACGGTGCTCCCTCCTGCCTCCGTGGGAGCCCCAGCTGCCAGGACAGGGACATCATTCGGCCCCAGCACACGCGGATGGCAGCCAAGCTCCAAGAGCTTTGCTCTGCTCCCCAGAGCCCTCCGTGGAAGACAACCATGGATGTGTCACAGATTGTGACTCAGAATAGACGGTGGCACACATTGCTGCGGGCGCAGGGTCCCTCGGCACCAGGACAATTAGGTTTTGTCAGGTGTCACCATCACTTGCTGAGAGCAGGAACCCTCCCTGAGCAGCCCCGTCTGCCAGGGGCCACCCAGACGGATCGCATGGAAAACCGGAGCCCACGGCCAAAACTGGTGCCAAAATTGGTGCCAAAACTCAGCCTGAACCCAATGCAGCCACCCCAGCCCCACTGACATGGGGCCAGCTCTGCCCACCCACCCACCACGGGGTGTAATTGCAGCACGGGGCTCCATCTGCCTTCCCGCATCCCAACATCTGTCCGGAATCAATACAAGAGCTTCGGCAGGGCAGCTGGAAAGGCCCCTTCTGCACTCGGTAATAGGCAGCCTTGGGGAGAAACTGGGTTTCTGTTGTACAGCGGCAGCTTTCTGCTTTATGGCATGCAACTTCCACCGCCGTGCATGCGCTGGTTCATTTTGCAAGCATTCCTTTTTGTTGAGGACCGGGATTTATTGCGAATCAGTCAACATATGTTGACTTGAACCATGCCAAGGCAGCGATTTAACACATTCAGGTGCGCACGGATTGATTTGTGCCTTCCCAAAAGGTTTCTTCCCCGGAGGAGACGCACATGTCAGTCCCTGCAACACGGATGATCCCTCTTGGCCACATGTGGGGAAACTGAGGCACGGTACCTACACGGCGACGTCAGGGTCACAGCTTCCCAGCAGCAGAGCTGGGGATTAAAAGCAGAATTTCCAGGTTTTGTTGAATACTCCCAATAGCTTTTTGGCCCTTCCCTTAAATTGCCTGGTTGTTGAACGCCTGCAGCGGAGCAGGGAGGGCAACACCAGCCCCCTGCAAGCTGCTTCCCACGCAGGGCAGCTCTCATCTCCGAGCCCCGAGTGAGCAGCACTAGCCCCAGGGCTGCCCTGGGCCACCGCAGCAGCCTCGTGGCATGCTCAGGCCAAGGCAAACCAGCCCTGCCCACCAATTAGACACCGAAAAGTTCATTAGTGCCATTTTCCCCCTTAGCAGGGCCTGAGCCGAGCGCGGGGGAGCCCGGGGCTGCCTGGTCACCCGCGAGGGCACCGGCCCGGGTGACACTAAGTGGAAGTGACACCCTGCTGCTCGGGGACAACTCGCGGCTTGAGCTGACACCGTGTTTGTGCCGCCTGCCGCAAACCCAAGGATGATGCTAATCCCTGCTCATGATACACACACGCTGCTCAGGGCGGCTTAAATCCTTCCTTACGACGGCAATTACTGCCTCGCTCCCGATTGCTTCCATTGACAGGAAGCAGAAGGGCAGAAGTGTCATCCCTCCCAGGCTACTGTCACTCCTAGGAAACATCCCTTCACTGGGTGGGGAGGGTCAAACATGACAATATATCTTTTACCTTCAAGGGTTTAAAGGCTCAGGGGTTACTCAGAGGATGTACAGTGAATTGCAGAACTTTTTGGCCATATAGAAACAGCAGATTCAGCACGCTGCAAATGCAACAGGAGCTTCCTCCCACCCAAGGAGCCTTCAGTTGTTGCATCCTGGTCCCAGGTCCCACCTTGACATCAGCAAGCAGGAGTCTACGTCACCAACCGCGTGCAACCAGAATCCCTGTGGATTCCTTTCGATTGATCGCAGCATCCTGGATTTCATTAGCTGCCAGTACAGCTGTCGGCACGGAGCCCAGCACCAGCTCCAGAAACAAGGAGCGATGAGCGAGACGCCAATCCGGGTGTTGCGCTGCTCCCGGGACCTGGCCTGGATGCATCGGCTCTACCTCAACTCCCCTGCTCAGTGGACGTGTCTTTGCCCTGCGGCAGGACATCCAGCACCGTCATGACTTTGCGTTGCTTGCAGCAAGAGCAAAGCGCTTGCAAGACACTCTCGGACACTCAGAGTCTCCCATCCCACCTCCCGGATAGGATGAGCCACATTCAGGCCTCTCAGGTCACTCAGAAAGGTCCAGAGAGGCTTTCTGGGGAGGAAAAATGGGATTTCGGGCCTCCAAGACATGGATCTTTCCTACAGCCTCCTGTTAATGCACATCAGCCCCACGCTCAGGGCTAGGGACAAGACAACAGCAGAGGGACATTTAAGAATACAGACAGATGAGGACATATTCGCGTCCAACCTCACACAGCCCCAGGTATCACGCAGGATTGTCTCCTGTGATTGTGATGTTATTTTTTCCACCCATGCAAGATGATTTTTTATATCCTTTCATATACACACACATCTCAGTGCACTAGCAGCACAGCAGCATGTTCCAGCAAGCAAGGAAGGGGAAACAAAGCAGAGGCTGAGCTACCAGGGACTGCCAAGAACAGGGAAGGAGAAGATTTTTCAGCAGCATCAGGACAGGCAAATGCCACTTAAAACCAGACATCGCTCTGGCAATGCCCAGACTGAATGAAGACTAAATAAGAGCTGACAAGCTGACATTTGAAAATGCAATTAGCTGCCTTGCAGAGCCATC